GTCATCTGTCGAAGAAAGAGAGGGAGACCGTGCGAGACGAAGAGCGGAGTCTGCTCCGCGACAACCATCTGATTCCGCCCAAGCACCCAAGAGCTGGAAGCGAGGGACCCTTTGATCGAGTGCGATCTAGAATGTCAATTTCAGGACTGCGGAAAGTCAAGAGCACGCCAGACGAGGAAAGCGCAGTCGAATCACCCTCCGAGCGAACAGCGCTATTGGGAGCATCTGAAGGTAATCCAGGCCAACCATACGGGGGGTTGGATTCACCCAAGACAATCAACAAGAAATGGAACGAGGCGGTTGCAGCAGGGAAGATCAACACGAGCTGGCAGCGAGAAGCTAAAGTCTTAACCAAGAGTTCCGCACCGCTCATCTTGACATTCCTACTACAGTATAGCTTGCCAGTAGCGAGTATCTTCACCGTCGGACACATTGGCAAAACTGAACTAGGAGCTGTGAGTCTGGCGAGTATGACGGCGTCGATAACGGGCTATGCAGTATACCAGGGTCTAGCGACTTCGCTCGATACCTTGTGTGCACAAGCATACGGCTCGGGGCGTCCCCATCTCGTTGGGCTGCAACTGCAACGCATGTTGTACTTTCTCCTCTTGATCACCATACCAATATCGCTCATATGGGCCTTTGGCACACAGATCCTCTCGCTCATCGTTCCAGAGAAGGAAACGGCACGCCTAGCCGGACTGTACTTGAAGGTTCTCATCTTCGGAGCGCCCGGCTATGCGGCCTTCGAAAGCGGGAAACGCTATGTACAGGCGCAAGGTATCTTCAGCGCGACTATGTACATTCTCCTCATTTGCGCGCCACTCAACGCTTTCCTCAACTGGTTCATGGTGTGGCATCTTGGCTGGGGATTCATCGGCGCACCCATTGCTGTCTCGATCACCGAAAATGTTCTTCCTCTGCTATTGTTTCTCTACGTCAGGTTCATCGACGGATACCAATGCTGGGGTGGGTTCGATCGACGAGCGCTCAGGAACTGGATGCCGATGGTGAAACTTGCGCTTCCCGGCTTGATCATGGTGCTTGCCGAGTTTCTGGCTTTTGAGATCTTGACGTTGAGCTCATCGTGGCTTGGCCCAACTGAACTTGCGGCGCAGTCTGTGCTGGGCTCGATTACCGGCATCACCTTCCAAATACCGTTTCCCATGAGCGTGGCAGCGTCCACGCGCATAGCTAATCTCATCGGCGCAACCCTGGCGGTTCCAGCAAAGACAGCAGCCAAGGTAGCCGTCTTTGCCTCTATCCTTGTCGGCATCTTCAACTTACTACTCCTTTCGCTTCTTCGCGAAGCTATTCCTCGCCTATTTACACCGGACGAAGAAGTCATAGACATGGTCGCAAAGCTCCTACCGCTATGCGCGACTTTCCAGGTCTTTGATGCGTTAGCCGCCAACTGTAACGGTATCTTGCGTGGCTTGGGCAGGCAGGAGATTGGTGGCTATGTTGGATTGTTCGCCTACTATGTCGTTGGTATCCCAATCAGCTTCGGCACCGGGTTTGGATCACCACATTGGGGGTTGTATGGGCTTTGGAGTGTAAGTTCCGCTGCTGACACCTAATCTAACATCTGTTAACATGTCACAGGGACCTGCGATTGCTCTTGGCATAGTGGCTGCCATTGAAGGTGTATTCATATGGCGAACAAGCTGGGATAAAGCAGTCGAAGATGCGAAGGTGCGGAATGCTGCAAATTAGGAGTGGCTGTATCCGATAAAAATTCGATCGCTGCATAACCCTAGTGGTCAACAATGAACGAAAATGAGAAATTGCATTGATGTCATGTGTCTTCATGGCATGTCTAGTGCTGGGCTACAGGCTTCTAAGTAATACATTGGGTGAAATGAATGATGGTATGCTTGGAGATTTCTATTGCCGAATACGAGTGAGTGACTGGATTTTGTCTCCTTGCAGTAGTGGTGTAAACTTTGGTAATGACTGCTGTCTACCTTTCGCCTCCTACGGTATGCCTGAAATGTCCCGTTTCTTTATTGTCTCCACGCTCAATCAAGAAGCTTCTGGGCCCACGGTGCACTCTCATACCAAGCGCGAATCTTCTTGCCGAAGACATAGAGTGGAAGTGCAGCTCCGGTAACAATGGCAGCGGCTGATGCTAGAGTTCCGAAGACTGCCATAGGTCCAGCAGTATCAAGCCAGCCAATCATCGGAGTAATACCAACGGTGACAGCACCGGCGGAGATCATATTGATGGAAGAGAAAGCTTGAGCAGAATGCTCGGGGTGACAGTCGATGACGTAGGCGATGGCGATCTGCACACCAGCGACACTACCCACGTTGGTGACTGTCATCCAAACGAGAATCCAGACTAGGGGCAGACTGTTCTGGAAAGAAGCACCCAGACCAATCAAGCCGACCATGGTGATTGGGGTTGAAAGCAAGAGGAGTACGAGGCGGAATTCGGGCTCGACCATGCCTTTAGTGGTACCGTTGTGGCGCGCCATCAGGCCAACCGAAGCGTCAGACATCCAGCCAAAAAATGGCCCAGACAGTAGACCGACCACAAATAAAGGCAAGTTGGTCAGACCGATCTGACTGGGTGTCAAATCATATGGAGGAGATGACAACAAGATTGACATGAAGGTGGACATGCCAGCCAGGAACAGGAACACTGTGGTGTTGAGAAAGCAGCTGTAGAAGACGATGGGTGAGCTGATGAGGCCAAGGGGCTTGATAATGCCTTTGAAGAACGACTTATCCGAGAGTCGGCCGCGAGACAGAGCTAGCTTCTCGTTGTATGTCTGCCTTGCAGGTCGAACGGAGGCCTTTAGATCTTCCTCATCCCATTCTGCGCTTAGCTTATCGGCGGGCACGTGAATTGTTGTGACATAGTCCGTCTTACGGTTGAAGTAGGCCGACTCGAAGATCGTTAGGTAGAATACGGGGATCAGAGCTGAGTAGATGAGGGCGGTGATGAGGAAGTTGGCGGAAACGCCGAACTGATCGGTGACGAAACCGGCGATAATTTGGCTAGAAGGAGCCTTTGTTAGCAGCTAGAGAGGTGACGGGTTATTGTTATAACTCACCCAACTTGAGCTCCAGAGTTCAGCATCAGATTCCACACCGCGATAGATCGACCTCGTTGGTGAACGAAGAAAATGTCGCTGATCGTTGCGGTAAGGAGGGTGAACAAAGGTGCAGAGAAGAGACCACCAGCTGTTCGAGCGACGGCTAGCATGGGAAATGTTGAAGAAAGGTAAGCCGCGAAGTTGGCTAGAGCAAGCAGTACAACGCTCCAGATGTAGAACGGTCTTCTCCCCCAAACGTCCGTTCCCGCAACCGCGACGAAAGCTGCGGCTGAAGTCCAGAATGTTGGTGCTGTAAGCAGCCATGTCGACACATCGCCCTCATTGCTCTGGATCTTTTCGGTGAGAGGCTCCAAGCCTGGGGTAAGCATAGTCGTGGTTCTACGATAGATGAGCGTAAGGATTTGTCAGTCCAATCCGTATGAGAAAGACTTACGCGTTCGTGACTGCAGAACCGAAAGCGAGGATGAGCAGATGAATGCATTTCCACTTCAAACTCCAGTTCAGAGGGTCGTTTGGGTCATCGGACGGTTGCGGGGAGAGTACAATGCCTCCATTCCTTTTGGAAGTATCCAGTTCGGGTACCTTGTCGTCGCTCGTATCCTTGACCCCTAATCTAGAGGTACCCCGAGGAAATGCTGACCGCGTGCTTTCCAATACACCCCAACCCATGATGACCGGCTTTGATATTCAAATGGAGTTAATGCGGAAGGGACGGCCCGCGTCTCTTGAAGATCGAATGCGAAAGGTAGCAAAAAGAAGAGAAAACGCCGTCCAGCGGTTTGCCAATACCAGCAGGCGACGAAGCGAAAAAAAAAGTGCAAGTAGAGAGAGGTGAAGGAGAAGTCGAGAACCAGTCTACAGAACAAAATACAAATCGCTAACCACCATGATATATATCCAACACCATATCGTGCACTGCCCAGCCGGCCTGTTTTCACGATCAGCAAACACGTTACGCATCCGACAGGTCGGGTTAGGCATAACTCGGCCGTTCGTGACGCTGCGACATGTCGCAGAGGAGTCTCACAAACATTTGGAGAACAACACGCGTGAGCCCTACTTAAGTCGTCCCCAAACTGGCATTGATCTGGGTCTTTGGACGTGCGCCTGGCGTGGTGCCTGACGCGTTATGGGGTTTAAGGCGTTTCGAGTCGCTGGGGAAGATCGCGAAAGAACGTTGGGATTGAGAAGTCCGAATGTCCGTAAGTGCCAAGCGCTGAAAGTCCGAAAGTGCGGGGAGACGCGCCGCCACATCGACGCCACGATTCGCTCAACGCTCAAGCTTGGCTGTCTCGCTCTATCATGCTAACTGTTGAGCATTACAAAGCGCAACAGCTCTTTGTCCCCTGTGCAAGAGTCTGATACTACATGCAGATGCTGCAGGCGGCTACTGTCTGGAGGACGCTGCCCAGGTGCCATCAGGTATCCGCGTCGCCGAAGGTGGACTTGGGGACGTGGACAACACGGACTAGAGTACGTAAAGACTACCTCTTGAAAGCTAATGCCGAGATAAGGCTGAGGATGCGGGGTCTCGCCACAATTCGTCTTTAGAACAGAAGATTCCAGCCCCGGGTCCTTCAAGATACCTTGTATCATATCAGTCGGCATTTTGAAACAGGCCAAATGTCTTGCCCCGCTCGCCTGTATCCCTTGCGCAAACCTCGAAATCATCGCGTTCCCATCCCTCGATGGAAACTCAGCCTACCCACCAATGTCGAACAAGTATTTACATCTTACGTTGGTATCGAGCAGCATGAGGACAGCGCTGTAGCTGCTAAGGCAGAAGAAGAAGGCGTCTGTGCTATCCAGCAATGGCTGAGACAAAGCGATGCGCCAGAAGCAGTAGAAGCATTCACCACGCTAGACAATTACAGTCGCATCGAAGGGATCGTGTGGGTGTGCTATTGGAGCGATGAAGCAAGACACAATCGTGCCATGAAGTCATTGAACCTCAGAAATATACATCAGAATATATCCACCGCTGGTCAGCCACTCATCGGGCTATGGCACGAAGGCTTCAAGACATCAGTATCACGTCTCGAAACGAACTATTCTGGTCTTGACTATCTTCCCGGACTAGCGAGACTACCTGGAGCCAGCACCGAAGAACACAACCTAAGCACGTACTGGGGAGCAGCTCGAGACCGCATTCCAGATTCCGCACACGATCTTTTCCCCCGAGCAGCTGACATGCCGCGTCCAAACCCAATGCCAAATAGCATAGGCCAACACCTGACTGGCACCAATCACGAGAACATGGTCCACATTCGCTCTGGCCAGCATTGGGAGAACTGCGGCAAGGAGGAAGCAGATTCGTATGAGCAGAAGCTCGAACCGACTCTGAAGCAAGGTCTTAGTTATCTGCATGAGAATTCAACGGAGACTGGAGCTCTCAGTATCCAATATCTTCGTAATGAGGATGTACAATCCCCTTGTGGTAGTAAGGAAGAGCGAAAGGAATCGTGTGGCGCGGGTTTCTTCGCCAATCTCGAAGATTTAGAGCATTGGGCCAAAAGCCACGCGTCGCATCTGAAGATCTACGGTGGTGCACTTGCACATTATAAGGCGTTTGGAGATGAGAGGAGATTCCGAACATGGCACGAGGTATGTGTCATCGATAAGGGCGACGCTTTGTTTGAGTATGTGAATTGCTCGCCTGAGACGGGTGTTATTCCATCCCTGCCCCTCCAGAGCGGGACAATGTAAAGCTCATATATATTTTGAATGGATAGTACTCCGACAGGTCGCTTTTCCAACCACAAAAACCACCCGATTGGACAACTCCGAAAAGAATATGCCATAATGACAACGCCATTGCAATGCAAAATGCGACATACACGCACCGTGGTATCGTACACATTATTTCTTGGGTCCAGACCTAGCCAGCTTCCGCATGAAGGCATTTTGGACACCCTTGGTCCCCTTGAGCTCCTTATTTCTGCTCTTGTTGACCTCCATGTAGGCCATGGTCTGGCCACCGGACAACTCGGATAGCGTACCTGCTGCTCGCCTCACACCGTTCTTCTTCTTATTACCCTTATTGGAGGCGTACTTAGTGCCGAAAGCATCACCCTCAATCCTCTCTTCCTTTGCGTCTTCTTCGCGGGCAAGGAGGACATCCATCAGTAGCTCTCGGCGCTCTTGCGGTGTCGCAAACGCCAGTTGTGAGAAGTTTTCTAGTCCTTCAAGACGAGTGATGACCTTGAAGGCATATCCTTGATCGACGAGGAAGGCTTGTCGCTTCGACGAGTAGTACATCTCGTCTGTATCTTTTGACACGAGAGAATAGAAGAAGGCGTTGAAACCTTCGTCGTTCCTGCGCTTCGCCCTCAAAATTCTGCCCAAGCGCTGCGCTTCTTGACGACGGGAACCGTAATGGGAAGAGATTTGAATGAGACACGTCGCCTCGGGTAGATCGAGACTGGTGTCACCAATCTTGGACAGGAAAATGGTGTTGACAAGCTCGTTGTGTTGAAAGTTCTCCAAAATACGAAGACGTTCTTGTTGAGGTGTTGCGCCGTAGATGTAGGCCTTGCCCAATTTTCGTGAGTACTTCTCTAGTGCGTAAACGTTATCAGAGAAAACAATGATTTTGTCGCCTCGTGACTCATGGTAATTGATTAAGAACTGGCAGGCTTGGAACTTCTTAGGGTTCATGATGGAAAGTAGTGCACGTTTTTGCAGGGATGATGGTTTGAGCCACTCGGTGTAGAACTCTGGTGTCATCTGACACCAGACTTCAGCGCACTGGACTTTGGCGATGTGACCTTGCTCCGATAGCTCTTGCCAGTTAGCTTCGTACAATTTGGGTCCAATCAAAAAGTTGAGGTCATCGATCTTGTCATCTTCTCGCAGCAGTGTAGCAGTAAGACCGAGTTTCGCGTGTGATGCGATCTCATAGGTGACCTTCTTGAAGATGTTGGCGGGTACAACGTGCACCTCGTCGGCAATCAGTAGACCCCATTCTCTCTCACGGATGAACTGCATGACCTTTTCAGCATCATGCGAACGCTTCCTAGCGTTACTGATCATAGAATAGGTGCTGATAATGATACCGGCCTGGCGGGGAAATCTGGTCTTGTTATCGGCAGTGAAGACAGCAACGTCCTCTGGGTTGATGTTGGACCATTTGATGAATTCGGCTCGCCATTGCACAACAGACATGGCGCTCGTGCACAGGACGATGACGGATTTCTTGACACCACAGGCAGCTGTGATGCCAACCAAAGTCTTACCTGCGCCACAAGGCAACACGATGATGCCCGAGCGCGCTCGAGAGTTGGAGAACATCTTACTCAGAGCCTTCTCCTGGTAGTATCTGATTTGCGCGTGGGGTTTGAGATCGATTTCGAGGTTCGGGTTGGTATCGTCGTTGTTGAAGTCGTATTCCTCCGTGAGCGGCAGACCGATGCTCCGACAGCGCTTGACGACCTTTTCGCGCTCTTCGCTTCTGATTTGAAACGAGTGGACTTGGGCCACTTCGTCATCGTCGTCGTCTTCTCGAAGCGTGGCGATCATGTCGCTTGGCGGCGGCTGCTGTACAGCTTCTGGCTGTTGCTGCTGTGCCATGTTGTTCGCACCAGCAGCGAGCTTGGTACCCGGAATAGCCATCTGACCAATCTTGGGGGCGGCCTCCTTGATGAGACCGTCTGTTGAATCTGCCCGACACTCGGCGACCACAGGATCGCGTAGAAGCTTCTGTAGTATGGTAGGGTCCTCGCTCTCAATGTACGACAATGTCTTCTTGAGCACGATCTTGGCCTTGCCGAAGGCGGAGGTGGACTTTTCGACGAATTGCATGATGGCGGCGGATAGAGCTGTCTTGGAGTAGCGGTCGAGTTTGTCTATGATCTCCTGCTTGGAATGCCCAACACTGACGGCGGCGAAGAGGCTGTGGGTGGTAAGCTGGTACTCATGCATCTTGGAGACACGCGACTGCGGCTCGGCGATGTTGATCAAAAAGTCCTGGGCCTCATCGAAGAGAAGATGGAAGGACTCGAGGATGATTCCACCCGCGTCGTTGACCCAGAGCGGGCGATTGTGATGGTCAGGCTTCAGCTCCGCACTCCACTGGTCTGACTTCCTGAAGAGATCGGCCGCTGCGTCTCTGACCCTACCAGCGCGCGCTCGCTTTGTCATGGCCTTGACGTCGAACTCCTCTTTGAGCTGGTCGAACGTCTCCTGATCACTCATGGGGCCCTCATCGTTGTCGTCCCAGCCATCCTCGGCCTCTGCGTCTGCTGCCGTCTGCGCTAGCTTGCGTTTGGGTGGCATCGTGGCGGCCGCCTGCTGCTGAAAGACGGAGCCTCGTTATATATCTCTGTAGTATACGGGTGCGAGAATAGGCGAGCGGTGGGAGCGACAAGATATCGACGGGTGGTATGGACGTGCAGCGGTCGCGGGTGGAGTGTCGGTGGCGGAGGCAGCAGGCACAGGGAAAGAAGGGCGCCGCGGTGATTATGTAATGACGTATGGCACCTGCATTCGCGTCTGGACCCAAATGCAACTTCTGGACGGTCACTGAGCGTGGAACAGACGATGACTGTGCTGGTCTGAGCAGACGACGAAGATGTACTCGACTGGGTGGTGAGTCTGAACTGGCAACGCGCCCAGACGCGAAAGCATGTGAATAGCCGGCGTTTGTTCGGGGGCGCTGCCGACGTCACTCTCGGCGAGGCTGCTCTCACCACATCTACTGTGTCAATCTACCGCACCTAGAATGCGCACATGACGCCGTGACATGCTTGCCAATGGGTGCATCCGACTCGAAACTGTCCTTCAAGCAGGGCGTCTTCCGCCTGTCTGAGCCCAAGCAGATCCCCGCCGACGACGCCTATTGGACTGGCGTATGCTCTGCCCTGCCCTCTGCCCTCTGTGCTGTTGCTGTACTGACGCCGGCGCCAGTTCTGGGAGCTGCCCGAGTCGACGGAAGATGTCTTCTCGCTCTTCTCGCCCGCAGACATTCGCCGCACCCGCGACAACAACCTCGCCAATCTCGAGACGCTCATCCTCGCCGTCACCTCGCGCCTCATAGTCCTGCGCAACCACCCCTCCTTCCCCGACCCCGAGCTGGCCCCGGAGCGCGACGCCCTCAACTGCATACGGGTCCTCACGCGACTGCTGCCCTTCTTGTACGAAGCCGACCACCTCGAGACCTGGGAGGACCAATTCTTTTGGGCCGCGCGGCGGAAGCGCAGTCGGCGGGGCCAGCTGGTGCGAAGCGAGATCATCTTCGACGAGGCCGACCCTGAGCAGACGCCCACTGAGAAGGAGCCTGAGTTCGAGAAAGCCAAGCCGCTGGCCGAGGAGATCATCGACACGCTGATTGACCTGCTCTTCTTCTCCGACTTCACCCTTCCCAAAGTCGCGGCTGGCAAGAACAAGGTCTCGTATGCGATATGGCAGAGCGGCGTTGGCTGCAACACGCCCGTCGCCTCGACCAAGGAATTTGAGAGCAATAGGACCGAGATCCTGCGCTTGCTGCTTACTTTAGCCAGCAAGTCCATGTACATGTCGGCGGGCGTGCTGCCAGTCAAGGGCGTTAAGGCTATCACCTACATTGCGACCTGTCCCGACAAGCAGGTCGTTCTGTCCGTCCTCTGCTCGCTGCTCAATACCGTGAGTGCCTCGATATTCTCTGTTATGCACTACTGAATCTCGCAGACCCTCAAATACAACCCCGCAACATGGCGCGTGCCATACGACCACGTCGTCTTTAAGGACCAGCGACAGGTCCTGGTTACCTACTGCTTGCAGTTGCTCCTCGTCCTCGTCCTGTACCCCATACCCGAGTCTGGAAACGGCCCAGCGCCTAAGAACTTCTTCCGCCATTTTCTCGGCCGTCTACACCGTCCCCAAGACTTTCAGTTCCTGGTTGATGGTATGACGAGAATACTCAATCAGCCGGTATGCAACACATCCAATGCGCTGTTTTCTCTCGCTGATACAGAATAGCTTCAAGCCAACACCTCCTATCTTCCTGGTAGCCACAAGTCACTGACCTGGGCACCCGAAATGATCATGCTGTTTTGGGAGGCACTGCAGTGCAATAAGCGCTTCCGCTCCTTCATCATTGACACCGATAGGGCCCACGATTTCGTTGTCTTGGTGCTCTACTATGCCATCGACCAGCGGAATGATCTGTCAAAGCAGGGTCTTGTGCGCATGTGCATCTTCGTGCTCCAGACGTTGAGTGTCGAACCGCAGTTTGGCAAGAGCCTCAACAAGACTTTTGAGGGGCAAGAGTCGCTTCCAGCTAGCATACGCATACCCAACTTCCACGGTACATACGCCGACTACGTCATCACGGTATGTATCACCATTAAAATCAATACCTGTGCTAATTATGCTAGTCTATATATACCCTACTCACCACTGGTAAAGGCAGGCTAGACGCCATCTACCCTGCTTTACTCGCAATCCTCAACAACATCGCGGCTTACGTTCAAAACATCGGACGCGCCTCGAGCTCGAAATTGCTCCAACTCTTTGCGTCCATGTCATCTCCTAGCTTCCTATTCGCCAACGAAAACAACCACACTCTTCTGCAATCATTGTTAGAAGTTCTCAACGCTATGATTGAGCATCAATACCCACGTAAGATCAGCAACCCTGGCCCTCTTTTACTTGTTCTAACTATCTTTAGACAACCCAAACCTGGTGTACGCTATCGTGAGATCGCGGAAAAGGTTCCAGGCACTGCGAGACTTCACGTTGGAGAGCGGCCAAGAAGAAATCGAGCGTCAGAACCAGCAACGCAAAGAAGGCGGCGAAGACCTTACACGAACTAATTCCATTGACAGTCTTAGAAGTCCTACGGTAGCTCGCACACCTACTCTAGGCAATGTACCGGAAGAGGACAGTGCTTTCGCTATTGGCGACGACGATGATTCAGACGCAGAAGATGCACGCCCATCAGAGCCATCAAGATCCCCCGTCCCATCACAGTCAGGAGCTTCGAGAAGCGCGTCAAGAAGCGCATCCATAGCCTCATCTATAGACGACTCTGTGCCGCTTCAAGTAAGGGGCATGTCGGAGAAGGCAAGGGGCAAGATGCCAGTTGGCCAACCTGCCTTCTCTCGGCAGAACAGTATGACCAGTCTCCATAGTCTGGCGGGCCCAGCCTTAGCCACTAATGAGTTCTTTACTCCCTCCGTCCCATGGGTAAGTTTGCACTGTACAGACCACAAGCTTTACTGACCTCTGTAGTTGGAAGGATGGCTTTCAGAACTACCGATGCATACTATTCTAATGCTGATATCGGAACTCGGTCCCAAGATGCCCAGCTCAGGCAGCGCCAATGACACAGCCGCAGCGTTGAAAACTATACGCGAGACCGAGGTGCGTGGAATTGAGCCTTCGCCCATCAGAGTGCACCTCTTCGAGTGGTCGGCCTTATCTCTGGGTTGGTATGAGTCGCTACTCTGGGGATTTGTCTTCGCAGCCGAGATGGTTGTAGCCAAGGGTACTGCCGGGGTATGGAACAACACTAGCATAAGGTTGTTCAAGGTTCAAGAAGCTGCGGCCACAGCGCCTTCACTTCTGCAGCCAAGAGGGGCTGTAGATGCAGTCGGGACGAATCTCGTGCAGCGAATTGGCTCCCTCAATCTACGCGGAGTTGCAACCCAAGGCGCGCAACGCTCCCCAACGAGCAGCGGCAATGCCGGCGCCAACACAGTTAGGGACGTGTAACAAATGTCACGGAAATGTTATTTCAGCCACATGGCAAATATTGGCCACAACTTCCATCGTATTCGAGAAGGTTTATAGTATCGCGAATGCTCATTGGTGTGCCTGGCATGCGGGTTAGGCCTTTTATCCTAATCAGACCCTGACGTTTGCCGATCATTTGGGCTCGACTGCACAGCCACAACACTCGCCACATCTTGGTGCGCTAGAGATAGACAGCCAACAACAGTGTAAGGACGTCTACAAGCGACCCTAGATTCGTTTCATGGCTTTACAATGAAGCAAAACGCGCAAGCTCCAGGCTGTTCTGACGTGCCTCAGGACGATCTTATCTTGTTATGCGTTCGCGACGGACGAAAGTGTTCAAAGGTCAAGTGGAGGTACCCCATGATTATGTAGTGCTCTCGCAACCCAATAATGTACATTGTACTTTTTTGCATTAATCTTCGCGTCTTGATCCTTTGGTAGCGAAGTCTTCGTGAATATCTTACGGCTGCTGTGTACAGATGCGACATTTGGACAGAGATAGAATATACATGACAGGTATTTACAGTTGCGCCCCCGGCCCTGCGACTGGCACTAAGGAACAGAACAGACTCACTTCAATACCCAATCTACCTCTGCAACCATGAATACATCCGCACCTCACGACGATGAAGCCATCACCACGTACAGCATGCACGTGCGTATCTCCTCACTGTCCACCCATCACCAGGCCGAAAAGTCTAACCGCAAAACAGGTCTCCGCCAAATACCTTGAGCTCACCAAGAAGAAGTTAGAGTTGACACGTCTACCGCGTGAACTAGAATTACCAGATGAGAGGATATGGGAGCAAGGTACACCGAAGAGTGTACTTGAGCCGCTCTTGGACTTTTGGTACGTTTCCTCTTTCTTCTACACCCGACTTTCACAAAGACTGACATTCAAGCAGGCTCGAAGGTTACGACTGGCGCGCCGCCGAATCGCGCTTCAACTCGACTCTCCCTCAATACCGCACAACCATCACCATACCCTCGTCCATCACCTTCCCTGATGCCACACAATCGCTACGTATACACTTTGTACACAAGCGATCTAAACACCCCAACGCCATCCCATTGCTTCTCTGTCACACATGGCCGTCGTCGTTCATCGAGGTCCAACGCGTCATCGATGGGCTGACGGATCCACACTCTCTGCCTGGCCATGCGAACAGTGCACAGCAGGCTTTCCATGTTGTGGCGCCGAGTATACCAGGGTTTGGGTTTAGTGATGCGAGTATGAAAGAAGGGTTTGGTTTGCACGGGACAGCGGATGTATTCCAGAGGTTGATGGGGAGGTTAGGATACACACAGTTCGTCGCTCATGGAACGGGATGGTAAGTCATATACTTTCGTGGTCTCCACTTTGGTTACGTGGTCGCTGACAAGTCTTACAGGGGATTTGGTATATGTCACGCTTTAGCATTGAGACACCCAGAGAGTTGTCTGGCGGTGCATACTACGAATCCATCGTTTGAAAAGCCGAAATTGAAGAGCGGGCCGATGCGGTATCTCAAGTACCGAGTTGCGAAGTTCACGCGGGCAAAAGTACCGTTATTGAGTTTTGGATATATGCCGAATGAAGTGCAGACACCTCCGAAAGGCCTGCATGGGAAAGACCTGGCAACATTGGATGCAGTGTGTGGCGGCGAGCCGCTGGGACCTACGCTCCATCGCCTCTACTCGCTTCGGCCGCAGACATTGGCCTTCTCTTTATGCGACTCACCTGTGGGATTGCTTGCCGCCTTGCTCGATGTCATACATACGCGGCGGGATGTACCACCGCGTCCGCTCTCGTCGCGGCCAAGGAGTCCCTTTCTTTCACCTGTTGAGCTGGAGATGCAGCGAGGCGAGGAAGAGCAAGAGGAAGAGGAGGAAGTGCCTTCGACATCTACGGCACAGCTTGGAGGTGCGACGAGCCCAGATAGAGTGGACGGCGATGGGAAAAGTTATACATGGAGTCCTACGGAGGTGCTGAACTTTACAATGTTGCAATGGTTACCAGGGCCTGAAGCGGTACGTTGCCTTTTTCATATATTTGACGCGCTTGTCATGAGGAGGTTGTGAGGTACTCGCCGCTGTTCATGACGTACTCTTTGCCACTTGAAGATCTGCTGAGGCCTATCTTGGTCTACCCTTGAAGTCTTCGTCTGAAGTTCCTCACCGCTGACGTCTGACGACGGATAGGCCCTCCGCTGGCTCCGCCGCGCACACATCGACATGCAATCCCCCTCTTACCAACCCTTCACATCCACTCCCCTTGGCATCTCCACGTTCCTTCATCCTAACAGCAGCACCGCAACACCGCTAATGTGGGGTGCACGTTCCTGGGACATATCCTGGGTGAAGCGCCATGCTGGCCGCCCCGCAATGTTGCCAGGCTTCGAGGCACCAGATGCGCTAGTATTGGATCTGAGAGAATGTTTCGAGATGATGATCAATAGAGGGAAGCTGAAGTTGAAGATGCCTGAAAGGGAAGGTTAGGTGGTAATAAGTGTTGATTTAGGATATAGATATATCAGGTTTGTTGTATGCGATTAAGCTGGAACAAAGACGGACGGGTGCGCCTGGTGTTTCGGCCCGTAGTAACGAGTACTGGGAGTATGCTTGCTTGTTGCAGGGGCTGTGCTGGCGCCACAGGCCTGGTGTCCTTATGGGGAGGTGTTATACATGTATACGCAGTTTGTGCGATTATTATTCCGGGCAACAGAGTCAACTTGGCTATATTGGATGATGTGAATTTTTCGCCCTGGCTGTAAGAGGTGGTCGTGCGCAGTGATGTAGAGCAGTTACATTAGAATCGGGATACTTGGACGACGGAGATTGCGAAGGAGCGTAGACTAACATGCCCATCGGGTTCTGACTGATGGCGTAAGGCTGTGCTGGTGAGATCAGGTACCATTGGCACGTACGTGTAAAGCCGTGATCATGTGCTGCTAACCCCAGCTGGGCGTAGTGGGGAATGGCAGAGGCAGCATGTTCCCTGATGTACATAGCAGCAGCCGATCATGGCAGCAGTGGCAGTCGGACCTATTCGCGTCTTGTGTCAGGCACATGGCGGGTGGCCGAGTCGGGTGAAATGGCAGACGGCGGGGCGCTCCAGCCAACTGGGACGGGCGGTGACGTCCTGATGCGAAAACACCGCACTCGTGAAAAATCGCTGTCGCGTGAAGGCCCGAAGCTTCCACGACGTCGCCCCAGCACCACACACGTCAAATTGCCCTAGTGAAGTTTGCATCCACTGCGCACAGTACGTCGCTCTCCTGACACTCTGCACACGCCCACATCTCTCGCGCCTGCCGTGTGGGAATATAACCTCGTCACGTCCGCCCGCTCATTCACGCAGATTCTATCAGCGCCCAACGCCATTGCATTGACTCTCTGCTCAACGCTCCCCACCAAACCTACATCGTCACGCTGGCAGACCTACTCTCCTCCCTCTCCACCACTGCCTAGGCTTCAGTAGCCCGCAGACCGTCTATCGCCGCCCACCTCGGCTCTTCTATGCGTCGCGAGGACCTGGTACGCTTTCTGTCCAAGCCTGCGAAGTGAGTCGTTGTCTCCGCGAGAAGCAGTGTGCAAGACATCCCAACGGCCAGCGCTGACTATTCACAGGCCTCGATAACACCCGCCACGCCCCTTCCTTCACCACCCACCATCGTACCCATTTAAAGCAGATCTCCTCGTCTGCTGGACCCGATACTTGCCCAGGGTATCGGAATCTGGTATCGCGAGGACCCCAACCACTGCCACCATTTCCCGGCGAAAGGCCTCGTTTATTCCCCTCAACGCCCGACCTCCCTAACATCGACTACGGTCGGTTACCCTCTTCTCCATAAACTGCTGCTGGCACACGCCAGCCTCGCCTACTCTTTGCGACCCGTGGGCCAATTCTTCTCAGGCGAGCACCGCATTGCTTGTCTGAGCGAGGTTGTGCTGCACATAGCTTCCTAGCTAGCCACCCTCCCCAAGCTTCCGTACAGCCACGGCCACCAACCACACCTATCATACCTGTTCGTGCGCGCGACAGCCACACAGTCAAGAGATGGTCGCTACTGAGATTCCTCAGCACTACACTGCCTCGCCTTCGTCGCACATTGGCACCCCTCATTTGACCATCAACAAGGAGGCTACCATCGATCTCGACTCTACCAACTCGTTTGAGGGTCCTGAGAAGCTCTTGGAAGTATGGTTTAGCGCTTCTGCTACCGAACTGCCTGGACAGGCCGGCCCAACTGGACTGAAGACGGTGTCGGCCGATGTCTGGAAGGACATGCTCGATCTTGTCAACTGCAAGGTTCTTTCTGTCATCGAGTCTGAACATGTCGACGCTTACCTCTTGTCCGAGTCGAGCATGTTCGTCTTTCCTCACAAGGTCGTGCTCAAGACCTGCGGAACCACAACTCTACTATGGGGTCTCACCCGTATGCTGGAGATTGCTGCAGGCGTCGGCTTCCCCTTCGTTGCACCCAAGGCATCAGGCGTCGCGCCAGCCGCCACACCATACCGCGTGTTTTACAGCAGGAAGAACTATCTCTACCCCGATCAGCAGCGTGGACCCCACCGCAGCTGGCGTGATGAGGTTCGCTACCTTGACGACCGCTTCCAGGGTGGCAGTGCCTATATGATTGGCAAGATGAACGGCGAACATTGGTACCTCTACATCACCGGTCCAGACACCAGCCTCACTCCACCTCCCAGTCCTGGTGAGGAGAAGCTTGCGCCTGATACCGAGACCAAGTTCGTGAGCCACCCTCAACGCATGTTGCGTGAGCAGGCCACCGACGAAGAAGAGGACGAGACTCTGGAGATCCTGATGACCGACCTCGATGAGAAGAACGCCCGTCAGTTCTATCTAGAGGACGCAAGTGCGGTTGCGGAAGGTCGCTACATCCAGAGGGCCCGTGAGGCTCGCAAGAACGCCATCCAGTCCCTAGGTACCATTGCGGAAGAGAATGGCCACAGCGAGAGCCTCGGCGGCTCCACTGTCCTCAATTCCGCTGCTAACACCCATACCTCTGACGACAGCTTCGACGTGTTCGAGCAGACTTCCTCCGACCACTCTGGTTTCAACTCTGACGAGGAGCTCACTTTCCCGGAGGAGTTGACCACGGAGGGCCATACGCTCGGCACAGTTGTTTCTGAGCACTGTGGTCTGGCCGATGTTTACCCTACCTCCAAGTACCCCGACGCCCGCATCGACGCCTACCTGTTCACGCCCTGTGGCTTCTCTGCCAACGGCGTCATTCCCGCCCCAGGTGGTGCTCCCAACGGCTCCAAGAAGGGTTCTGATGCCACCCACTACTTCACTGTACACGTCACACCTGAGCCCCAGTGCTCCTACGCCTCGTTCGAGACCAATGTACCTGCCCGCCAGACTGGTAGGGAGACGGCTGACGTCGTCGAGCATGTCGTCGGCATCTTCAAGCCTGGCAGGTTCAGCGTCACTCTTTTCGAGGCTAAGCCTACTGCTGATGAGATGCCCGCCAAGAACATTGAGAAGGCGAAGAGGATGGAGACAATTGCGGGATACCGTCGCGTCGACCGCATTGTACATGACCTGGATGGCTACGATCTTGTCTTTCGATACTACGAGCGCAATGATTGGAAGGGTGGAAAGCCTCGACTTGGCGAGATCTTCTAAATGGGTCTGCGATGGAGTGGCCGTACACAGTAGTATTCTGTTTTGATGTTTTGCGAGTATACTCATTTGGTGTTTTGTACAGTGTTGCTGCACAGTCACTACTATGTCTAGCTAGCGCTTCGGTTTGTTTGGTGTTTATTCAGATCATAATCAATGTTGATCTTCAAATTATACACTTCATGTCCAACACTCTTATTACGCCTGTCACTTTGTGTGCTTATCTTGTTGTTCAAAGTAGGTGACTAAGTTGCGGCTGAGCCTGCCCATCATCCACGTCCACTCAACGTCAGTCCTTTTCCCACCGTCACTGCGGCATTGGCGTCTGTGTTTGTTGGCCTATTCATTTCCGCCCGTTGCAAACGCTGTTCTCCCACAGCCAGGAGCCACTCGCTGTCTGTCCCTCAGACACCGCCAGCTAGCTCTTGTTGCTCACAACATACCGCCCTTTGCCTTCACCTATAGCTTCTCATCTCTTTTTTGTAAAGGCGGGGTAGGCGACGCACCTACCACATTTAGGGTGAGAGATAGATGCCTAATTATTTGACCGCTAGTAGAGATGGGAGTAGGTACTACATAGGGTGTCTCTTTTGTGATCCATGGTTCGACTTCCTACACTACACTATACTCGCTCCTTGACAGCAACAACAAGTGCCTGCTTATCACATTCTACTCCCATCTTCTATTTGTCCTAGTCGTCAACTTCGAGATGTCTTCACGTCCTCCACGCTCAGGGAAACCTTCTGAAGGCGCAATGCGCTACTCACCGTTTGAGGATGACTGCGGTCAGATTCACGAACCCCAGGATAGAAGCCGAGACTACCGCCCAGATGCTACGGCCTCGGACGATGAAGACGATGGCCCAATTCCATCGCTGTTGTCTTCGAAGCCGAGGGTAATGGCACCGAGCGTGTCCATCCCACGACGTCGGGTAAGTAACTAAGAAGATGTTGTCTGTCACATAGAAATACTAACTTTTCATGATTAGGGAGGAAGCGTCGAGGTAAGAATACCTGCGGGCATAGCAAAGAGTCCAAGAGGCCAAGCTCGACCAGCACTCTCGTTGAAAGCCCAAGGAAAACAACGCGCTCCTGAAGAACAAAAGCCGATGCCCAACAGCGCAGGATCTGGCTTCGATCTGAATGCACCTGCAGAAGAAGAGGTTCCGGACGAACAAGAATCTGGCACTCACAACGCGCACGACGTAGGTACCCAACCTTAACTCCTGCAACTGTGCTAACAAGACGATAGATTAAGTACACGATCGACCCCCACGAGACCAACCGAGGAACAGACTACTACATCAGTTTCTCGGCCAGAGGATTACCCACAGAAAGACGAAAAGTCGCATTTGAACAGATAACAAAGCATATGCGCATCTGGAACAGATGGGTGAAGGCCGATTCTGCCGATCGGGAGAGGGAATATAAGAATAAGTTCGGCCGCTACCTGAAGGCAAAGCTGAAGTGATGTTCTTCCCCTCTTTCAACCAAGTAAGTCTTCTCTTCTTCAAGCCGCTTACTTTTCTCTTCACTCTTCAGCATAGCTAACTTCTCTAGAGCAGACATGCAAGACTTCTCTTCGGACTGTTTGGTCCCGCACGTTCGGTCTTTGTGCTCATAATTCTTTCCTTTGTCGAAAATCATCTCAAGCGTGGTTTATGACTCTGACCAAATCAACATGCGTTTAGGCACGTCTGTTCGAGCTAGGGTCGGGCAAATGCCTGGATGACTCTGGCACGTGCACTTTGCTTTTTTATCTCTTGTTCTGACTTTGCTGCTTTCGACTTCACATACTCTTCACACTGATTCTACATGTACCTCCGTAGTGAGCACACTAGCTTTTGCATTTAGTTCTTCTGCTAGTAGCACAGGTTCTACAGATAGCTAGCTATGTACAAATACATAAAAGTGCTTACCTTTACCTTTTATTCCTCTACCACCTAAGTGCGCTGCTCTCTAGAAAATCTACGTGCATGTTCTTCTACCTCTATATAATATTAGATGCTGTGTAGAGCAAGACCCTGCAGGTTCTGTCTATGCACCAGACAGGGCTTTGTTAAGAAGTGTAGAGCAGGCGGGGCGAGGACGATAGACGATGCTGCACAGGTAGGCACCGTCACGTACTGTAGGCAACACTACAGTGACGGCCTCGTACTCTTGCAAGAATACGCCACAGAAAGTCAGTGAATAAGGCAGAATCACTCCAAATCGGCGCGAATTCGCGCTGATTCAGGCTACATTTAGTTTTAGAAAAAAGATAGGATGTTGGCAGGTTGCAGTGAATAAGCAACTTGCAGGCAACCTGCAATGCGCAACCTGCGCTGAGATCGTGTCACCCCACTTCACTCAGACATTGCAATACAGGCAACTCTTAAGCAGCAGAATATTTGAGTCGAGAGAGGAGGTAAACTGGGGAAATCGCCAATTCTGATTTGACTACGACGGAGACTGTTCCTCGACACTGAATCAAGTTCATACATATCTATCATACACTGCCCTTGCCATCCCCACCGTCCATCCGCTCAAGTGCCTCTCTGACCTTTGCTACAGCTTCCCTCGCTGCTCTCCTCTCAGCTACACTTTCATCCTCAACGTACTCCTTCCCTCCATTCTTGATAATGAACCTGACTCGCTCCTCTGTACCCTTCAACGTGCGTCTACCCTCTTCTCTCAGGGTACCCTCCCATGATTCTCTGGCACCTTCCCATAGTTTCTGCATGCGGCGAAGAGAAAACGTAAGACCGAGTGCCGCGACGGCTGAAGCCTCGAAGACGGAGAATGTAGACATGGAGGCGTAGAGCAGTGCCGAAGCAGCAGACGAGAGGGATGTGGTGCTGAAGGTCTGTAAGAGAAGTCGTTGAGCGAGTGCCTGCAGAGGTGGCACGGTGTCGTTGATGAGTTCTGTGCGAGCAGCCGCAATGTGTTCAGGCCATGGTATTGGTTTCCGGACGTTGGTGGATAGATCTGTTCGCGGGTTCTCTGCTGTCGGCGCTGTGTCCTGCGTTGTCACTTCCGGGATGTCGGCAACGGCGAGATGTTGGACGTCATCTGGGAAACCAGCTTGGTTCATGCGACCGGCGAGGTAGATGCTGTTCTTCTCCGCCGAGACGAGCCATCGCCGCTCGAGGATCTCGGAGCTTATCATCGTGACGTCGTCCACACGCCAGAGGAGCTTCCACCAAGCCAACTTGTGCCAGTTCCGAGCCGTGAAGGCTTCATCAAGCTCGTCACGGAGCTCCGCATGAGACTTCTCGGCCCAGGTCTCGAGATGACCGACGATGGAGGTTGTGACGTCTGATTGTGTCTGGACTGGAGCAAGCTGTTGCAATCGAGCAGCGTCTTGTTTGGTGATGCTCGCTTCTACGTCGTTGGCTATAGAAGCTACAAGCGTCTTCATCGGGGGCTTGATAGCGTCTGTGGCGTGAAGGTCTTGGACTAACCACTCCGACAGCGTTGGCAACCCACTTTTGAACCACCCTCGCTCATAGATGATGGAATTTTTTATCGACTCGCGGAAGCTGTCGAGCGCGTTCGTGCCAACTTGGAGGTTGATGGGAGCGCTTGCGGCGTGGGTATCTGACTTGACTTCGTCCGACGGGGCGGGGAGGTCGACGGCCATCTTCACCACATCATCCATCTCGTTCAGCCCATCCGCCGAAAATCTTCCAAATGCTATGGCGCTGTCCAGTCCTTCTCCTAACACTAGAGTCTTGTGTACCGGGTATGGGACGGGCAATCCTCGTGCGGAAGTGGCCTGGAGCTTGGGAACCAGCAACGATTCGGTGGAGCTCTCTGTAACCATATGAGGTAGGGACTTTGCGACATTGACGTTGATGGTAGAGACGAGGACCTCTAGGTTGTGCGATTGAAGGGTTCGTGAGGGTATGGAGAGGACCTTGTAGAGGGGCGAAGGCGCATGGGCATCGGCATCGTTGCCGTATCTGCACAACAATCGTGTTAGCTGATGCGCTATCCAGTATGGCAGATCAAGCACATACTTTAGCAATACCGCTCTCTCGCTGCTGTCGCCTGATTTCACCAGTTCCTTCTCCCACTGCTCCTCAGCACTGAGTGGATCTGCGAGTAGTAACCGTGCAAGCTGCTGCGCACTCAATTGGCTGTTCAAACCGAGAACTGTCCATCGTCAGCCCCTAGTCGTCAAATTCAACTGCGCGTTCCGTACCAGCGACTCTTGTTACAGCATCCTGCGCCGCCAGACCCCGCAATGCCAATTGCAATCTGCTTATATTGACGTAGGTCTCGGCGGCTCCACTAAGCGCTGACAGTGCATCGTACAACTCCTTGTTCCGAGGTGGGATGTGCGGGCGCAGATTTATCGCGGTCGGGGAGACATGCGTCGATGCGGAGCGCACGCGGAGGCTGGTGGTCGGGCGTGAAGTGAGGACATTGCGACAGCGACGCGCAAGCGGGAGTCGATCAGTCGGTCCTGTCTTGCGAAAGATCGTCAGTCGCGGCACTGAGGCCACCCATGGAGGCATCGGGCTTGAAGTTGAGCATTGCTGTTGAAATGTCCATGTTGACGTAGGTCGGCAAAGCTAGCTTCGGTCCGAGTCCGTGCGCAGTCTCAAACACCTTCACACTGAGCAATGGCTATACACTAGTGCCATAGGAATTTGATTTTATGTGATTCAATGAGAGGTCGACGCCCTTAAACTTGAGCAGTCGACCGACAAATTACTACCGTGCTTCGTAAGGTGATGTCCTCTAGGTTACGCTGGCCCGAATACGCCTACGTGGTATACTGATGACATTTGGTGGCCCGCCAATACAGAAATCAAGAACCTAAACATCCTGCAATGTCATAGCTCGTCTATCGGCTTCGCTCTCGGATCGCGAGCGCTTGAATCGCGCCTAGCTTCTCCGGCTGCGTCCAGAGCCAGATGACCTATGCGAATTAGTTACTGTACGACAAGCTACGTAGGATCGATGCTTACATGCTGATGCGTCTTGCGACAGTCGCGAGACCTTGGTCGTTGTCGGCTTCTTTGGTGGCCTTCTCGAGAGCCTGCTCTCGGCTAACCTCCTGAGACTTTCGCACCTCTTCGTGGCTCGGCGGGAGCCTCTCGTTCTGCAAATCAACCTTGCGTGCGTCCTCGAAGCTGTGGATCGCCTGCTTGATTCCCTCCGCACCGAGCATGAGCGTACCCGCGGGAAGTCGACCACCCGATGCAGTCTTGAGCTCAGTGACACGCTCAGACTCCTCGCGCAGCACTTGGAACACACGAGAGAGGCGACCAATCGCCAGAATCTTGTTTTTGATCGCACGTCGCTTGAACTCGGTCGAATCTGGGTCGAGGCTGGAGAGGGGTGGCGATGATGGACCGGAAGCCAGAGAGCTGGGCGTCTCCTCTTCGAGCTCCTCCTTCGAACAGGTGTTTAGGATCGCAATGAGCATGTCAGTAACTACGACTTGTTAGTATGATATTGCAATATGAATTGGCACTTCTGCTCACTCTTTTCGCCAACAAATGGCAATGACCATGTGAAGACGTCCATAAAGTTAGGCAGCCAGTACGGATGCGGTGTGCAGTTGAACTGTCGGATGTTCATGACGTTGTTCTCGTACTTCAGAACCGCAGCCTTGTTGTTGTATACGTCGAGGTAGTTCGGCGCGCTGAAGATTGTCATGACACTGGGGAAACCAGTCGTCCGTGTTTTCCTGTACATTCGGTATCCAGCATCTTGCGCCTCGTGTGCGCGGATGATTGACAGAAGGTTGTTCTTCTCGAGGAAAGCGCACGCAGCGGGGTACGAAAAGAAGTATGAGCATCCGCGGACGTGGTTGTGAACGAAGAAGTCGTTGGTCTTCTCCTGGCCGAATTCTTCGAGAGGATCAGCCCAGAGAATATCGCACATGAGGCCGTGGGTAGGTGGCTCGCGGAAACGGTCAATCTAATAAGGTTAGCGATGGCGTTGGATGAGGCATGGTTCCACGTACGCTCTTCAAGTCGTCCAGAGTGTGGAGCTCGGGACTCAATCCACCGTGTATACACAAGAACTGCTTGTTCATAACAGCCGCTAAGGGGAGTGCGCAGAACGAGTCCATGCAGGCCTCGTACACGGCCTCGGAGTACTTGTGCTTGCATTCGAGCTTGAATGTGAAGTAGTCGGTCAAATGGCGGCACTCGTGATTTCCTCGGAGAAGCCAGAGGGTGTTGGGGTACCAGATCTTGAGCGACCAGAGGTACAAAACACACTGCGAGTGTCAGCCAATGCACAGCGGCTGCTTTCCTGCCGTCTTACCTCTATACTGAAATAGCCGCGATCGACATAGTCTCCCAAGAAGAGGTAGCGCGTCTCTGCTGGGTCGCCACCGACTTCAAACAGCTTCATGAGATCGTAGTATTGGCCGTGAACATCACCGCACACGGTAATGGGTGCGTCCATCTCCAGCATGTTGGGTTCCGACTTGAGGATCTCTGTGCCTTTCTTTATGATCCATAGCGCCTGTTGTTCGGTCAAGCGACCTTCGCGATAGAAGTGCTGCTTCAGGAATTGGATGTTGGGCTTTGTGCGATCTTGAGGGGAGAAGAATTGCTCGTCGGTGGGCGGGTGGAAGGCGGGTGCTTGTACGTCTGGCGAACACGGCACAGTTAGCTGACTGTGTGCCTCGAAAACGGCGCAAACGCGAACAAGCTGGCGGATTACCATGCCACGACGTATAGAATGAGCATACCTTTGCATACACGTTCCTGGGTGCTCACTTGGTTTCCATCCTCCATAGTATGCAGGGTGAAGTCAATCTCGGGGAGCGGCTTCTTCTCACGGACGGCGCGAATAGCATTGTCAATGTACTTGGACTGGTCGACGTCCTGCGGTTGGTTCTCCATGGTGGGCGGTCTGAACAGAAAGGCGTAGGGAACGAGCACGAGAAGACGGTGGAGGTGAAGGCAGCGAAGTAGTGGGGCGAGCGCAATGACCGCCTAAGCTTGAGTGGCGGCGGCGTGCGAAACGAAGGCCTCGGCGCGTTTAGAATTCTGGGGCCTGACAGCACGAAATAATAGTAGTCGACTGGCCGTAGGGGGATTTGTCGTTTGGCTCGTCGCGTGCTCGGGTGTGCGCTGGCGACAGGAGCTTAGGGCTGAAAGTGGGAATCAGAGGGGAAGTTGGTCCCCTTGGCTGTTCCCTGAGAGGCTGCCCAATCAGGAGCCGGCCATCCCATGAACGTCATAAACCGGTGAATAGCCTCGTGGTTTTGCTTGGCTACGCTACGTTTGTATATATCGCCAAAGTTGTATAGAGTCATTGAAATATCATGATTAGGAAGTGCAGACAATGCGCTCTTGGATGGCTTTCCCATGCTGTCTTGAGTGGTAGATTGACGACAACCTGGGAAAAAACTGAACAGGTCTGCGGCCTACATCAACATGAAGAAATGTAAAGTAGCTGGCCTAATGTCGATGTAGGCTCTAGAACCGTTCAGGTTCTTTCTCGTACGCAGTGGTTTTACAACAGGAAGGATCTAAAAGCGGGAGCAAGTAAGCAAGTGTCACGACATTCATACATATGAGCAAAATAGTGTGGAACGAACAATCGTTTTGTATGATTTTGTACAGTAGGTACAGGGTATGTTGCGCTCTTAGACACGAGGCTGATCACAGCGATTCTCTCCAAGGAAGATAACAGGGCATGCCAGCTCAATCTAGAGCTGGTCATGAATGAATGTAACAAAAGTAAAGCGCAGAAACAGTCACGAGCCAGAACCAAACGGCATCCGCGCATCATGAAGAGGTATATGAACAAGAAACCCAAAACCCAACCCATCCTGTATGACGACCCAATCCAAGGGTGTCCCGATCCGTTTCCCAAACTCCGTGTATTGCATTTCGTAGCCGACGGCTGTTGAGGATGTGTAAAAGCGTATGCAACTCTCTTAGATAAGGAGAGATGAGCCGTGGCGACGGTGGAGATGGGCGCGAGGGAACTTGAGAGATCGCTTGGTGGAAGCAACGACAGCACCACCAGAGCAAGACATGCCGTTGGCAAGCGGCTGGGCGACAGCACATCCGCGGTTGCAAAGACCGAACATGTTGGCACCGATGCATACAACAGCGCCATCATTGTCACAGGGGGTGCAGTCACTGCCGCTGGAGGGTGCGCTGGGAGTGCTGTTGTCGGGCACCTGAGGAGGCGCGCTGTAGGCTGGCTGTTCGGGTGCACTGCTAGGCTGCTCGGCAACATAAGTAGAAGTAGGTGCAGCAGGAGCAGTGGGCTCGGCAGGAGTAGGCTCGGCAGCGGGAGCGGAAGAGGCACCGGGGGCAAAGACACCACCGCCGTTGGATGGAAGAGCGGCGTAGCCAGAAGTAGCAGCAGGGGTCTCGCTTGATGCGGGCTGCGAAGCCTCGGGCTGAGTTGGCGTTCCCATCTGTCCGTTACCAGCACCCATCTTGGTCATAGTCGAGCATCCGGAGCCGCTGACGGAGTCGCCGAGAGTAGCACCAGTTCCCTCAATGACGTTCTGGCCAGGATCGGGGTAGTTGAAGTCCTGACCTTCCGAGGTTGTGCACTCGGTAGCAGGGAGGTTGGCAACGAACATATCAGGAAGAGACGACAGGGCTTGGGCCGCACTGGCGGTCGAGGCTTTGGCTGATGCGCCACCACCAACTTGAAGAGGAGCGCAGTTCATGTAGAACTCGCGGTTGCCGACCTTGTTCAACCAGGTCCAGGCGAAGGTGTACTTGCCTTCAGGAATGTTGTCAGGCATGGTGACGGGGAAAGTGGCTGCGCCGTGGCCGTTGGGGTCTTCCTTAAGGTTGCCAGTGACATTCGAAGGGCAGCCGCCAATAGCGCTTGTAATGACCTTCCACTGACTGGCCTCGGTTGGCTCCATATCAGTTGTAATGGAAAATTGGCATGAACCTCCTCCATGGACAGCGGAGCCCTTGAAGGAGACATCCTTGGTCTCACCAGCATTCCACTGGTTCATCTCGGTGACATCGTAAACGCCGGCACGTTGCTTGCAGGGAAAGTCTCCGGGCTCGAGGGGAGAGCTGGTGAGGGTGTCTTTGCCGTAGGGTACCGGGTACTCGATGGTCATATGTGCGGAGGCACTGGCGGCAAGAGCCACAAGAAGGGTGGTCGAGAAGAACATGTTGATGTTTGAAAGAGTGATATGAGAAGTAGATATTCTCGATTGGATATCGCTAGACCTGCTGAGCGATGAAATGAATGTGATGGCTGTGGTGGTTTGAAGGCCGAAGAGCAAGTAGTACTTGATATAGGCGGGAGAAGTGTTGTTGAGTCTAGCTCTTCGTTGACGCACAGCAATGGTAAAGAATGTGATCTGCCACAGGCAAGATGTGCAAAAGCAAAAGAAACAGAGAGGAGTTTGGTACTGCTGTGAATAGCCTGAGATGAGAAGGAAAAGCAGACGAAACACAGATCAGTTATATACGGAGGCTCATGTCTACCCACATGGCTAGCCTGTGGCGGTCGGGACGGGCTCGTACAGCAGTGCAAGGACTCAGGAGCCTATGCCCGGCGGATCATCGTGAAGAAGCATAGGCTATTCGACGGAGCAAGGCTTCTCTTGCAACGGTTGACGGGCTTCTTTCGGCTGGCGTCCCCCTCCCGGTTTAGCGGCAGGGGGACGAGCGCAGGATAAGTGGTGTAACATCAAAGTCCTGAGCTCTCGGCAGGCACGATACCGATACCATTGGCCATGTGGTCATGACAAGAGCATTGTCCTTGAAACAAAAAAGCGGAGAGCGACTCAGAGGGGAAGGCATTGGTGCGAGGCTATGGCCAGGGGGCCAACGTCAGGTTTGAAGTTTGTGCCGACGGTCTGTGTACTATGCAGGGGAATGCCGAATCCTAGCCTATCGATAACTCCATAGTGGGAAGAGCTAGCCATGGTGTGGAGTGGCGATCGCCTGCTAAAGCTGAAACGATCAGCATCCTTCGCGAAAGCCGCTGCGGAGCCTCCCATTGGCAGACGTGCTCATCTCGACGCACACCGGGCGTGCGCCCATGGCTTGTCCGACAACAAACCAGGTTGCACAATCGCGACTTTTTGCAGGTAACGCAGAGGTTACTTACCGCCGTGTTTGCGACACGGGCGCCAGACTGAAGTTCTGGAGTCTGGACAGCAGCGGACCGGCCAGAATGACAAAGAGGTCTTTGATTGCAGGCCTTGTGGGCGACCGGCCGCGTCGATGTCATCGAACTTCATGCGTCGCACCCTGGGTATCCCTCATGCGCAAGGTCTTTTACTGGGCCTCCACCTTTTAGCGGTCACTTCTGTTACTCTCGACAGTATTAGACCCTGATTATTAACAGCCCTCGGTCTATGCATGGTTCCTGACGGCGAACGCTGCTAATCTGGGAGATCGACCCAATGCAACTGTCGTGGCCTCGTGTTCAGCTGGCTGCGCCACAACGTGGGCGAGTTGCTCTCGGAGTCGGAGCGTCGGTGTCGACGAAGGTCGCAAGTACGGCGGATCCGGGCATAAGGTGAGTGTGGCTGCGGCGTCTGGTCTCGTGCAGGTGACGACACGGCGGTACCTAGCGACCCGTAGGCCTCGCTACCAGCCTGTCGTCGACATCAGCTCGTGAAGGGAAAGCGTCGTTGCCTTCAGGCCTTCCTCGCTCCAACGACTGATTGGCTGTCTACCAACCGCAGCTTGTTTCATCGAATCACTTACCCGCACACGATAGAAGGGCGGCGAGGAGCCAACACCGCTGGGCCTCCCTTTCCTCCTGAAAGCTGATCAGTGGGGATCGAAAAAGGCTAGCGAGGCCTTGTTTCGGATGCGCCGTCGACTCTTAACATTGGGCCGTCTACCACCAGCTGCAAGTTAGTGACGCCAACAGCGCGAGACAAAACAATAGCGACCCCCGTTTGTGATTACGTCTACTTGATTTGTTGTTGCTGCTGCCCAACGTGAGTGAAACAGCGCGGTTGGTGCAGGGAATCGAAGACCATTCGAACCTGTCAAGTAGAGGCAACACTCGTGGGTGAGACATGCAGACGCGCACGACGACAGTCGTTACTTCCATCTTGATGTTCCGACTTGGGAGGGGGAACATTTCAGGCAAGCAGCAAGAGCGACTGGGCCTCACCAATGCCCACCAATGCCCACGAGCATGTGACATATCAGCCACTACCCTCTACACGAAACACACACCAAAATATTTTCAACTTCCGTTCTTGTCTTTTCCCACAGCAACCCGCCTCTTGGTGGGCCCCGACTACGTATTCTGTGCACATAGATTTTCGGCAAATACAGCAGTCCGGTACTCAGGTTGGCTTCCCCGAACGCACGAACATCACTACGCGTCACCATCACTTCTACACCCAATCGAGCTCAAATCTCCGTTTGACGGCTCATGCTCCATGAGAATGATATACAGATCATCAACAGAGTGATCAGACTGTCGGGTGCCGCACACGCCAAGTCGATGGCTGGTCGTCATTTCCTGACTTGGCCACTAATATAGTAGCAGAATGGCATTGTGTGAGAGCGCTTCTACTCAACGATATTCACGTGTGCTCCATTGACTGACTATAGCTGCAAGCAACTCAGTGTAGCATTGTCTCGGTCGCGCCCAGAGGCTGCTCTGACTCGCTCACTACAGCTGATACTAAGTCCGCATCCCAACCTCGTCTGAACAGAGTAATTTCAAAAGCACGGTGCACACATCTGGGAGAATTCAATAGCCTAGAGGCGGTCTGTACGACACCAGCACGCGGTGGACTAGGTTTGTAGCGTCGAACGGCAAGTAAACAGTTGCGGCACGCATTTTGTCGTTTCGTCAGTACGGTAGCAAACTATCATTATCGTACAGAAATAACGGATGGTAACGGGACAGGATCTACACATTCATCATCCACGAGGTGAATTCTGGCTGAAGATCTCGCCTACAACTTCTATACCCCGCTTACGGGGTTCCTTGGATCTGCTACGTTCTTTCCGTACTTTGATTGCTTTTCCAAAATTGTAATCATAGAGATTGCGGCTCGGACATGGCGAGCTACCGCTCTTGCCGAAATTTGGGACACTAGTTATAATTACCATAGGTCCAATCCTAGGGCCCCAGTTCAATGCCCTCGGCGTCAACGGGGAAGCGTACATCGGGTAGTTTCTTCGAAGACTGTTGAAGAAGAACCGGTCCTGTTGTTAAGCTAGAGTGTGATCAGGCCGACTTGTACATGGCCGTTGTAGCCGGGTAGACACAAGGTCCTAGCTTGTGATATCTCAACACCTAGATTTGGTCCGCGTAGGCGGTTACGTGACATTGGTGCCTCAGCAGCCCCAATGCTCATTCTACTACTGACCATCCACATCATTGAAATACGTTCTTAGCTCGATGCAACATCATTATAGTATCGAAAGCGTCAAAACATTGTGTGTTGATGTAGCTTCTATTGTTTGTCCCGGAGATTGCTTATTCGTTAGGACCCTCCCAACGAGCCCTTGCGGAACGAATTGACCTTCCGTTCCAGCCAGGTAGTCTTCGACCTGACTCGCACAAACGGTATCTTGTCAATCCCGATGTGCACTCTTCCATCTCCCCCGATGTAACTACCATATCCATAGCGTGACCCCAGTCTATCGAGATGAAGGGCACGTCCCTTTCTATCTAAATGTGAAGTCTCTTTCATGTCTTGCACCGCTGCACTAGCGGCGAACAAGCTGATAATTGACGCGATGGACGTAGGCATTCGCGCAAGATACTGTCCAGGTCGGCGCAGGTACACCATGACTGCAACAATGATGTAGATGCCAAGAATAGCTTCAGAAATGATGAACATAGGAGTGGAGACGAAGAGCCTTTGCTCCTTGACCACTGTCCAACCTTGGACCTGCGCTTCGTTCGCCTTGCTGCGTGGCACCAGCAACTTCTCCTTATTGGTTCCAAGCCAAATTGCAAAGAGTCGTGAAAAGGCCTTGCCAAGAGGAACTTGGATATCTTCTAGTGTAGGAACCGGTTGGTTCGGATCGCTGAGGCGTGTGCTGTTTGATTCGCGCCGAGCGAAGTAGTTCATCGGATCTTCCGCGTTGCTGTCGTTGTGCCAACCACTGTCGGAGTATTTGAATATGTACCGGTTCGCTTGCCCAATCACGTCGACGGCGCCGTTCGTAAATGCTTCTTCCGATGCATCGCCCTCGATGTTCAGATCCGCAACTTTTTCTTGCAGTCGCCCGGTTGCATCGACTTGCACTGTGGCTCTTCCTATAACGATCTTTGGCTTGCAACGAACGAACACCGAATTGCTTTTGTCCAAATCTCTTTCCGCGAAATCGCCACAGGATCCATCAGGTGCTCTGATCCATCCCATGATGATCGTTGTCATGCAAGCATCCCTCTCTTCTTGAGTAGCGTTTGCATTCGCATCGACAACGAAGACTAACTCTGTGGCACTTGGACCACGTTGACAAGTACCGTTGATTTCTGGTCGTGGCCCTGGTCTACTCGGGCCCCACAGAATTGTTGGTGCTACCCTGACCGGACATACTGCTTCTTCAGAGTCCGCAGGATCTGTGATGTTGAACACAGCCTGAATGTTCGAGCCATCGCTGACTAGCCTGGCGCGATAGTGCACGCCGAAGTCAAGAGTCTCGCAGTTGAGCTCGGCACCAAATCCCGAGGTTTCAGCCCGGTAGTCGCGCCCGTCCGTCGCATTCACATCTGCCGCGCTGAAATAAGGTAGGTAAAGCATTTTCTCGTCGGTCCATGCAGGGAGAGGAGTTCCTCGCGTAAAGTTGGATTCGGCAATAAGGAACTGATCCTGCGTGCTGCCGCCACGGTATGCGCCTGAAGCTTCGAGAGAGCCGAACTCATCGCCACTTTTGGGCCCGATGCTTCCGTTCACCGAAACGAACTTCAACTCGAATGGAGAACTAAATTCCGCAGGGTACCGTATGCTGACCGAGTCCTGGTTGAAGATGCCTGCGAATGCAACAGCTAAAAGATTGGCAAGCAATACCATTGAACAGACTGCCGCGAGAACAAAATGCTTCGACCTCAGCGCCTTGAAAATTACAAGTTGCGGAGGCAATGAGCTATAGTTGAGATCAATAGACCTTTTGGCAGGTGCATCGCAGTCCTGAAGCTCCTCTATAGGTTGCAACATGCACAGTAGGCGATTGATTAGAATCCACATTGGTTCTATAAGCGTAGCAAATGCCGTTGGAATGTAGTTCTCTAGGAGGTTCTGGACAAGCTTGTCCTTTGAAGGCAGAGGAAGACCGTTCAGCTTTGCCTTGGCGAAGATTATCGCAAGAGCAATAGCAAGTCCAGTGAATAGTCCTACGAAGGGGATAGAAGTCCAAAGACTGAACTCGACGGGTCGGACAGGCTTTGCGATATTTCGAGGGGTGTTCCGCCGTTGGGCGGTAGTGACTGGTTGCTGAGCTATCAGGACGGAATCTGTGATAGGACCAACTTCGATAATAGTATGTTGTTGACCATCATCATCAAGCCGGTATCTCTTATTTCCGAGCTGTTCTTGAACCTCTTCTGTAGTGCAGCAGTCAAGATCCTCAAAATCTGCAAGCAGCGCCTCATTGTCGGCGACAAGACTCATTATGCTCGCGACTGTGCTCGGATTGGAGTGAAGATTCCTGGCCCTCGTCATCGATAGGTATAGTAGTACCAGCGTTGCAATTGAAACGGCGCCCAGAAGGCCTTCGGCGATGTAGGTGAAGACAGGCTCAACAATGACTGCTTGTGTTGAGTACTGCTTGTGACCCATGATGACTTCGGAGGTCTTGAAATCGTTGCCGAGTACGTCTACCATTGCGCGAGAGAAGAGCAGCCTGTATGCATCCGCATAAGACTTACTCAGAACTCGCCAGTCAAGGTAATCCTCAAGCGGACGATCGCTGACTGCAAGGGACAATCCGACCATAGGCTGAACAAAGCCGCCGCCTGTGGGGCCAGTCACTACACTAAGATTGGTTGCCGCAACGCGCTCCAGGTAACTTGGTAGTGAGTTCAGCGGTAGATTGTCACCTCGGACTTCGTATCCAGAACCCCCATTCATTTGTATTTCTAGATATGTTGCGTTGAAGAAATTTGCCGGAAGTGGTTCTTTGTCGCCTAGTGGTGTGACGGTAATCGGTGCTTTGCTGGTCATATCAACCGTCGCGTTCACGCGCTGTTGATAGAAAGTTGGCTCGCAGAAAATGGCTGTAACGTTGTTCGGTGGGTCTGTCTCTTTTTGCTGGATGTCGGTGTTAGCGAGGATGTCCAGCGGCATGAGACTGCTCTGTGTTGTAAAAACGTACCTTTGTTTGACTGAACGCGGCATAAAAAGTCGAGTTGCGTTCTGGTGGGCAATAACCATCCAAGGAGTAGTCTGCAAACCCGCCGTCGTAGTACCCGATGTACATAGCCATATAGTCCTTCAATTCAAGAAGGGGGGCGTATATTTTCTTGTTCTTGATATAACCTTTGGTTACATTTCCTGAGAGTCCTGTTGTCACATTGCAACCGCCATTGCTCCTGTAGAGAACAGAATCGGGGATCGTGTATGGAGCGTCTCGAATAGGCTGTGATACCTCGCAATAAAGATCGACGCTGTACATGGTGGTGATCGCGGTCCAGGTACCCTGAATTGCGAGTTCGTCCTGCACTATCGATTCCGAAGGTCTAAAAGGTGCAAGAGTAAAATTTCGTGCCATATACGGTGGTAAAGTCTCGTTCAGGGTAGCGATTCCATAGGTGGATTGTGAGTAGCGGAGCGTTAAGTTGGTTGTTTGCTGATCAGCCGGCATGGAGGAAGTTGAAACCGCAAATGGTGCCTCGGATGAGCGCAAAATTGTTTCCACAGAAAAGATACCTGCTTGTACAGGGACTAAGCCCCATGTTACTAGAAGGATAGCGAAAGAGGCCCAGAACACAGGCCAATGTCTATCAAAGTTAGCTGCGCACAGAATCTAACCCGGTCAGGTTTCAGTGATCCTGCTTACCCATCTTTGGCTGCTTTGAATGGGACGAGCGGCAAGAAGTCGAATGGGTATTGTAACAGTAACGAGTCCTTCCCTAATGCTCCGGTATCTTTACTCAGTTGATAGTAAGGCTCCATACGTTTTGTCTCCAGGTCTATCCACGCCCAGTAGGTACTGAAAATGACAGCAACGACTGTGGGAAAGTACAAGTACATGAAGGCATGACCCAAAGGAAGGTCATTGATCCGAGGCGCGAATATGACACCACCATTCTGTTGGCTTTGGTGAAGGAAAAACTGTAGTATCGCGATTAGAGACCAGCATATCGCCGTGGTCAAAATCAGAACTGGTGCGCGCAGCGCTAGTGGTTTCCAAGTTTTGGTAGCTAGCACATGTCAAAAATCGATGTACTACGAAGTGATAATGTTGTAACATACTTTGATGCTCTGCATCACGCGCAAAGATCGAGACGATAGTGTTTGATTTCTTAGGACCAACAGTATCCGGGAAGCTTGATCGCGCCACAGGCGCTAGACTGGCGTCCATCGCGAAGAAAAGAATACGCGACGAGCAAACGGAAAAGAAGCGCGACGCGAGAAATGCAAAGCAACGGAAGTAGATTTAGGCATTCTACACGCTGAGAGGATAGATACTTAACAGCATTATCGTGGAGCATAAGCGCCCCCAAAACTCAAGGCGCGAGACTGCGCCGCAAAGATGGCTACCATCCAATCATTTAGCGACCGCAGGCCCGATTAGGGCAAGAACCACAACCTCGGAACGCGACGATTGCGGGCCGGCGCTGGAACATCCAATGCGATATCCGAGATGTGCGGTAAGTGGGTTCAGACTTTTCTGTAACAGTAAAAACGCAGGTACGGATAGCTATACTTGGGGCACGTCGCGGAGATCTACCGGCGTCGCAATCTTGGCTTTGTGACTAGCAATATTGAGACACCTGACCATTATGCACCAGGAGCACAAGGTCATCACGTTTTGGAGGCTTTTCTGATGATCTACCGATAGGGCGTTTGTGTGTTGTCAACCAGGATAATCCTCAGCGGAAAGCCCCAACTTCTCGCCTCCTGCAAAATTGTGAGCGGTGAAAAGCGACAGCAAGTAGTACTTACCACCATGTGCGGAAGTCAACAGTCGATACATCGATACCCAGGTCCCGTAGCGCGCTAGTGTCCAGATGGCAGTCGTAAGGCCTGATGGTGCCATCTTTTGGTTCTTCGTCAGGTTTGAAGGGCTCCATATTGTCGAGCGGCAACCCCATGATATCGGAGAATGTTTGGCAGATCTGCCATTTAGTCATGCGGTCTTCCGAACTGAAATGAAGGACTTTGGGTAGCTCGCGCTTCCTATAACAGGCCGTCAGCACTGTATCAGAGAAGCATCTCATCAATCGAAGACGCGGGTTTGGCTTACGCGTTCGCGGGATCAAGATACAGCTTCGCTATGTCGCGGCATACTCGGCCAACGTCTTGAGTGTTGGTAGGGTATCGAAGCGCATAGTCGTCGACTTGAATTTTGGGTTGACCATGCTCTATTTGTTGGGCGTTCCACAATTGCGACATGAGGACATTGACTGCACTGTCTTTGGGCTCATCGCAGGATCCGTAGAGGACCGGTACTCGAAGAATGACGACTTTGTTCTTTGCGCCAGTTTTGGCAGCAGCCTCAAGAACGGCCTGTTCGCCTTCCAGCTTGGTTTGGCCATACCTGATGGAGTGTCAGCTGTGATCAGACACCTCGCCCAGCATTATCCTGAGATAGCGTGGTTCTTGGAGCAGACTCCGAAGACACGGATGAACGACCCAAAATCCGCGACGACTATAGTGTGATAAACCCAGACTTACGTATTAGGTGGGCTCGGCGTCGAATCTGTCTTGTAAGGAGCTTCTCCAGGTCTTCCTGCAAAGACGTAGTCTGTTGAGATGTATATGAGGAAGATTCCCCGAGAGATGGTGGCTCCAGCCAGCGCTCGACTCGCGTCTACGTTCAATTTCCTGGCCGCTTCTGGGTCTTTGGTGCAAGAGTCAGGGAAGCGGTTGGCAGCACAGTGGACGACGACTTTCGGGTTGACTTCATCAAGCACCCTGGAGATCTCGTTCTGATCCAAAATGTCCAGCTTCACCACATCTGGAGCAGTGATGCGGTGCAGACCAGTGCCGACAGACTTCCAGCCATCTAACAAGAACTCTCGCTGCACTTGCCGGCCGAGCAGACCACTAGCTTCGCTCTGCGGTCAGCTAGCAGTAACACACACGTGGAGGCTATTTACCACCGGTGATCAATGCTGTCTGTGCCATACTGATACCACGCGCAATCAATGAGTTCTTGAGAAGTTTGGTTGCGGTGATGACGACAGCGTGGTGCATCTGTGGCAGCTCCCGTGGGGCAGCCCCAGGTCCGCGCATCATCACGTGTAGCGAGACCCTGAATCCCTGCAAGCTCGCCGCGACTGCTCGATTGTCGCGACGCAACAAGCAACCCACCGCTTACACGACCCATTCGTGCCCACCATGTCCACCATAGTCAAGGAAGCTTCCCAGAGCTCATACCCGTACGTCTGACAAGCCGTGTTGATTGCATTAGCTAATTGAAGCAGCCCCGTCATTCCCAAAGACTTCAACGGCAACCAGCCAAAGACCATCCGCTTGTTCCCTTTGAGCAACTACACATTTGGCACCAAGGATGGCCAGCCCGAAGAGGACCCTTCCGTCCTTGCCCGGCTCAAGCGGTTAGAAGAGCACTACTCGGAGCATGGCATGCGACGGACCTGCGAAGGCATCCTGGTCTGCCATGAGCACAACCACCCGCACATCCTCATGTTGCAGATCGCAAACGCCTTCTTCAAGCTGTACGCGTTCGCATCCTTCATCTTTCACCCTCACTGACGTCATGCAGACCTGGCGATTACCTCCGCGCCGAAGATGACGAGATTGAGGGCTTCAAGGCGAGGCTGAACGAGCGCCTCGCACCAGTGGGCACACAGTTCACAGGCGAAGGCGTAAACGACGAGTGGGTAGTTGGCGATACGCTGGCGCAGTGGTGGCGGCCCAACTTCGAGACCTTCATGTACCCTTTCATCCCTGCGCATGTCACCAGGCCAAAGGAATGCAAGAAGCTGTACTTCATCCAGCTTCCCCGTAGCAGTAAGTCGACTCGAGTCGCCTGTTTTCCAAAATATGTACAATTGCTAATACCTCGCAGAGGTTCTCAGCGTCCCGAAGAACATGAAACTCCTCGCCGTTCCTTTATTCGAGCTCTACGATAATACCGCGCGCTACGGACCACAACTTTCGGCGATCCCTCATCTGCTCTCCCGCTACAACTTCGAGTTCGTCGACGAGGACGGCAATGTCGCGGCGTGCACACCTGGTGTAGGCCCACCCGACGGATACCGGCCTCAGACCAAGGTCCTGGCAGGCGGCGATGGGGACGATACTACGATGGAACAGAATGGGGAAGGTAGCGACATCACTCTTTCGTAGAGCGCTTTCGTCATCATTCCGCTCTCTGAGTTTTACCTTGCTAATTCATACCCGGTGTCAGGCGTTACGACAGCGTAGGCATCATGACTTTGGTGGTTTGGCTACGATGCCCAACTCTCGACGGGGATGCTCGATATCCCTTTTTTTCCTGGCCTGGTACATAGAATGAGCAGCGGTGCATCATGTCGAGTTCCGACTATACTGTACGCGTTTTGGGTTGCCACGGAATTGCAAACGTTACGCCAGGATAGTGCATAGCTAGGAGCATGGCGCATGCGATGAAGCTCATATCTCGAGGCCGTATCTCATCACTAAATCGCGCCATGCAAGTATAAGCGGTCTGTTGGCCCCTAGGAATCAATGTATATGATCCAGCGAGTACGTCCCAGATAATGTTCTGTGCCAGGCTCACTGGTTCCGCGATAACCGGTACCGACGAACCACTCAAAGCCTACCTATTCCAAACTACGTCCATACCAAAATTTACCCTTAGATTGGAGCACTCGCGAAAGCAATGAATTCTGGTACTAGATGCCTGAGCCAAGGTACGAACGAAAAAAAAAACGGTTGTCTCTTATGAGAGCCTCACACATACGCAGCATACGATGAACCATTGTCAACTACGGGAAGCACATTATCCTATTGCTTGGGTCGACCAGATTCACGTCTTGAAGGTCATTGAATAACTCACCGGAATTCGCGACGCCATACACACGATTGGCTGGTGATCCTCGTGACCTGAGGCCACTTGCAAATCGCTTTCGTTCTCCTATGAGATCTCGGTAATGCTAATTCTGTCCATGTATAGGCATGGTTCTGCAACAGTGCGATAGAGAAATTTCGTTAGTTTACCAAAGGTCTAGCGATTTCTATTCGACTCGTCTTCATATAAAAGCCTTCACATCCCTCCTCTTATGTCCTTTTCCTCTCACCATATAGCAGTAACTT